TTTTTTTTTTTTTTTTCTTTTGTGCAAGTTTTGTGATATTAATTATGTTCTAAGGATGAACTTTCACGTGAGTTTATGTTACCAATTTTTTCTACTTCAATAGAAACTTATTCATCTATTTGATTTTACCCTCTCATGTTCCATTTTCTCTCTTTATTCAAAAAATATTGAGACTTCGATTTGACTATTGCTTCCGCAATATTTTTTTTCATTATTTACTTTTTTCTCAATCTTTGATCAATACTGTCCAACTCTGATCTCAGTTCCAACCTTAGTCACGAACCCCAAACTGTTCGATCAACCTCTAGACGATTCAGTCTGTTCATGTTCATCTGTGGCCGAGGGAAAGATGAACATTTTGGTGAAATTGTGGCTCCAGAAACAACAGACTCAAAATTCAGACCATGGAAAACGAACAATCACCTTGTTATGAATCAATTTTATAATTCTGGAGGCAGGCAAAAAATTTATGCTTCACAAAGCTGCAGAGGACATTTGGGAGGCTATAGAAGAAACCTACTCAAGGGCGGATAATGTGTTTGAATTATTTGAGGATGAAACAAGATTGTATGATTTAAAGCAAAGGGAGATGAATGTTACTCAAGATTTCAAGGTTCTCACATGGTTTTGGCTCCAATTAGATCTTTATGAAATCTACTCGGTAGAAGTGCTCTGACGATGGTGCAACATTCAAGCATATCACAGAACAAAAAAGGACCATGCTCTGTGCTTGGTCTAAACAAGGATCTTGAAGTGAGAGGAAGATGGAAATCAAGCCCTTTCCCAATTTGAGAGAAGCTTTGGTAGAAGTCGGAAGAGAAGAAAGTTGGAAGAAACTGACGTTGGCTGAGAATAAACCTGTGGGAAGTTAAGACATCTTTAACCTGTGGGAAGTTAAGTATGTCTTGCAAACGTTATGGCAAGATCTCGATTATTATCGACTATTTGAGATGAAGTGCACTGCAGATACCGTAATTTATTGGAGTAGGCTGTGTCTATGACTTTTAGGCAGGTTTGACCAAGTTTGAGTACAAATCACCAAAAAAGAAGAAACATCGTCACTAAAAGAAACAATTTCCCTTATTTGTGCAGCAGAGAACAAATGAAGTCTTATGCTTGACAAACCACTCAATGTAGAAGCATCAGCCTTCACTGTAGAGAGAGAATGAACCCGAGGATTAATCGAAGACTCCACAAGTATGTCAAGAGTACCAGTTTGGCAAGACAGATGTGTTGCCAATATCAAAAATAGTGTTATTGATTGAAGTGAGGCTCCTTGAGTTTCAAGTGTCATGTATTGACATCGTGAAGGGGAGGCTTATCCATAAAAAACCAAGAACTAAGCTCATTTGCCAAAGGCTTGAGAATCCTTAGGCAGACAAAATGACATTCAAATGGTGTACCAAATAAGGTGTCTTCCAAAGAGTTATTACCATCACAGGATAATGCTAATGGCTGGTAGCAGAGAAGCCAAGGGATCAGTGTAACATCTGTCAATCAAGTGTCAAGTGAGCATTGATAAGTCCATGTGGATGCATAATGTGGCTAAGTTAAGGGCCAATTGAAGAAAAGAAGCAGTGTTAAGAGTGGACAATCAAGACTAAGAGAGAGAAGTAACTTGAGAAAATTGATTGTTTGCCCGTGGAAGTGCTCCAAAAGAAGTGAACACGAGAGAGGGAAGCAACTCAAGAAAATTAGTTGTGTTACTGTGTAAGTGTTCTGAGAGAAGTGAGCACAAGAGAAGGAAGTAACTCAAGAGAACGGGTTATTTGCCCATGGGAGTGCTCCAAGAGAAGTGAGCATGAGAGAGGCAAGCAACTATCCTTAAACCATTTCCACATGTCTGAGGAGGTGGCTTCACATCAAAACCAAAATTTGTTCATGATGGAGCACCAAGCTGAATATAAAGACAAGAAGAGAGAAGTTGCAGCAAGACCAGAGTAAAGCACCATTTGCAACGTTTGCCACAAGAAATGGTTAAGTTGAGAATAAAAAATATTTGGGGGCTAGCAAGAATAAAAAATATTAATGGGGCTCGCTGGTCTGTAACGTTCTTTAATTATCACACCAAAACTACTTGACAAGTCTTCTGAAGGAAAAATCCAATACATCCTCAAGTTTTCAATACTATGGTTCAAATACTACTTGACAAGTCTACTTGACAAGTCTTCTGAAGGAAAAATCCAATACATCCAATACTATGGTTCAAAAGCAATTCTAACAGAAAGCCCAAATGCTTCAGATAGATAATGCCAAAGATAATTTTATCTCCAATCTTGGTCCATATCTCACTTCCCAAGGTATTATCTATGCTAGTCCATGTGCAGGTACTCCACAACAATATCTGAGAGGAAAAATTGGCGCCTACTTGAAGTTAATTGTGACTTAATGTTTTCAAACAACGTACCAATATACCTTAGGGGGAAGCACTATTGACTGCCACATATCTCAGAAACTGTATGCCAAGTAGAGTATTGAAATACAAACACCTCGACAAGCATTACTACAAGACTATCCTCAGATTCAGAAATTTTCAACAGACTTGCCAATTAAAATTTTTGTTGTACATTTTTTGTTGACATTTCTCAAGATCATCATTCCAAACTAGATCATAAGTCCTTGAAATGTATTTTTACTGGTTATTCCTCAGACCAAAAAGGATACAAATGTTACTCTCGGGTCACCAATAAAATGGAGTTCATATCTTTGAATATCAACCTTTTTTTTACCCAAACTACCATTCAGGGGGAGAAAGTAAATGCATGGCAGAATTGAGACCTTATTCTTCCAGAACCAATGCTCGTGTCTGTTCCTCCTGTTTCTTTGAGTCCAGAGCTAGAACCCTCTGTTTTGACTCGTCCCGTGTCCAATTCAGTGCCTCGAGTTTTCAGTCCTACGTCTAAACCTTAAAAACAATCTGAACTTCATGTTTACAGTAGAAGAAACCCTATAGAGAGAAGATAAAACACCACCATTCCCTTTCAAATTTTCAAATCACTTAAACTAGTTCTCATGCCGATGATGATTAGAATAGTAAGAACGTTATCACACCTCATACTCCCACAACTGATAACCATGGTCAGCCCATAGCTCACAGGACAAGGGTTAGACAATGCACAAACCACTCGATTCAAAAGTTTCTTGCCTATGGAAAACTCCTTCAAGACTGCAGGGCATTTGTATCAAATTTGGACAGCACTCAAGTACCAATTATAGTTTGGATGCTGCTTTAATTTGCAGCTATTCTTAGATTGATCACTGCACCAACTGGATGCGAATAATGTATTTCTAAACAGAGACTTAGAAGAAGAAATATACATGGATATTCCACCCGGCATAAGATCAATGTCTACTAGTGGATTGGGTGCAAGTTATAAAAATCCTTATATGGTTTGTTGCAGTTCCCTCGAGCATGGTTTGACAAATTTGCTAGAGAGCTTATGTCCAAAGTGAAAAATATAATATCACAGGGAGATTCAGCTGTCCTTAACAACATAAGCACCAAGAAAGATACCACCACATATAGTATCGCTTTAGAAATAAAACATCCACGCACAAGTAGATGAACCCAAGTCAAAAGGAAATACCTAACCATATGCGAGAAACTCACACATTGGATTGAAACTCCAATAACTTTGAACAAGCAAAACATTAAAAACTCAAATCAACAATACTGAAAGCTGGTTAAAAAAGTTTGATCGGCAATGAAGGCCAATAAAAAAAAAGCATCAAGGCTTTGATACCATCTCAATGATAAGAAAAATATTCCTTCTTGCTTGAAAAGATGATACAAGGTTATTCTAAATACAAATTACCAGGAAAACGGAATAGGAAAGAAAGAAAACATACAAGGAAAAAGATATCTAGATCTCCCAATCACTTAGGAGCTAATTACAAATAAGGAAATACAAATAAATACACAATATATATATATATATATAAAAGACTGTCCTTATTCCTCAATAAATTAACACGGAAGTAAATGAATCAAGTAATGCAATAAAGCATAGAGCATGATTAAATTTCCAGTATTGATTTTCAGCTATATCTTAGACTAACACAGGATTATAATACCTTGGCACGAATTGAAGCTGGAATATCTTGAAGAACACCAAACTCAGAGGAGTGGCAGTACTGTAATTGAAGATGATCTTTGATGTCTTTACTTAATTTCCTATTGAGCTTATTTTTATTCACGTATTTAATAACGTCCTTCATTTTATCTCTAAACTTTTCTGTTTTTGATCCTTTTACTATCAATGCTGCCATGTTACCAAGCAAATAAGAACCAAGAATCATATCAAAGGAGATAAAAATCATGATAAAAATCATTTCCCTGACATTGACGGCATGCATGTCACCATAACCTGCGAACATGAAGCAGAAATTAGGAGGAAAAGAAGCTTGAACTCTAGTACAAGTAACAAAAAACCATCATAAGAAAGTGAAGAATAATGAAGTGTAATGCTCTCATTTGCAGATCTGAGAATTTGATAACACCAGAGCGATGTGGCTATTGCTCTCGGAACCTACCATGAAAGTTGGAGGTGACTAACCAATACATTTAAAGGAAGAGATGTTTGCTGTTTCAAATGAACACAAAGCTAATACAACTGACTAATTTTAACAAACAGAAAAGGGCTAAATAAAGACATTACCCATGGAAAAAATCAGGCCAGCTTCTAAGAAGATTCACCATGCACTAACGAAATGTTCCAACATATGAACATAAGACTAATACCAATGCACTAAGGAATGTCTTCAAAGCTTGGAACACAATACCCAGTAATTCCATATCTTTTTTCTTTCCCCAATCGTTCAAGTTAAACCAATTCATTTTAAGTAAAAAGACATTGTTTATTTATGCATTTGGCTTTTCTATTTCAATTACCAGATTTAAGTTTTTTCTTTACTATCGACGATCTCTAAAAAACAATTATTTCAAGTTTTTGGATATTATTTTTCATTTGCTACTACTTGTAATTCCATGAGCAAAATAAGGTAAATAGCCTTTTAGAATATTGCTATTGTAAAAAGAAAAAAGTAATGTGAGGACGGGAATCCAGCCCAAATTTAATTAGATTTGTGATAAGCCTCCAATTACGAGGTGTAACCTAGGAAGAGAGGAAGAGTTGGTTAGAGTCACCCTCAACCTTGGTCAGTCCAATCCAAAAAGAGTATGTCCAAGCTCAGTCCAGACATAAATCAAGCTGACCCAACTTTTAATAGCCAAGCCTATGACCCAACCTTTGAACTTGGACACATTCTATCAAAATTTGGGTCAAGCTTGGATCGGACTTGAGCCGACTTATTGGATTATCCCATTAAATAAAGATTTTTTAAAATTATTTTTAAATTTTCTTTAGTAAATGTTATTAAAATATATTAGAATTATATTTCTTATGTAATGATGTTATGTTAAAAGTTTTGGTGGTTTTTATTACCTTGATTATCAACAACATTATTAATTCTACCACTAGTATGTGGAACTCTGTAAAGCTCCTTTTTGTAAATTTTGGTATCCTAACTTTTTGCAAATTTGTAATTATATCAATAGAGTCCAGTAGGAGTGGATGGTGAGGCCAGGTGCGTAAGGGAATTTCAAGTCATAGTTCCAATCAACTTGCCAACACTTTAGCTCCAGTATTTGATTCACATTTATAGAAGTTGGAGGTGCCAATCTTTGAAGGAACAAATCCAAATGGTTGGTTGCATCAAGTAGCAAGGTATTTTGTAATCAATAGGTATGTATACCAACACATCTCAAAACCCCTCTAGACAACTCTTCCTCTCTTCCTAGCATACACCTTTGTAATTGGAGGCCTATGATCAGTTTGATTGACCCCTTTGGGTGGAACCAAGTATCTGCAAACCAATTTAATTTGTCCATTATTCCAAAACATCCCTTAACCCAATCTATCCCCATCCGACCTCTGTTCAACTAAAGCCATATTAACATACATCATGCCAACAGAAGTAAATGAAATTAACATACATCAAACAAACAAGGGATATCACGTAATGGGATGGTTAATTCAAAAAATATAAAGATAAAAATGAGAAAGAGAAGCCTCTTACCAACAGTTGCCATAGTTACAACAGCAAAATATAATGATGTGATGTAACGCTTCCAAAGATCAATTTCTCTAAAGTTTGAATAGCTATAGTCCCCCAACTTTAGGCTTCCTATCCAGGTGTACCCTTCTTTTGACGGAGGTAGAGTAGTAGCAAGATAGTAGAAAATACAGGCAGCTGTATGAGTACAATAAAGCTCCACAACAAAAAGCTTCGCAATTCTTGTACCAAGGTAATTTATTCGTATATCCTTCTCCAATTTCTCAAAGAATTCAGTAACTCTTAAGGCTCGACTTAGCCGAATCCATAGTAAATATCTCACAAGCTCCTTCTTACCAGAAGCCTACACACGGTACCGGTAGGTAGAGGGATGAATACATGAAGTCAATCAAATTACTAACCCCTCCTGGGAGGTGGAAAAGTGCTGAGAATATTGCTTAGATGCATCATACTTGGAGCAATAAAATTTTATCATTGAAGCCATACCTTGTAGATGGCGTCCCAGGGCATACAACCCATTAAGTCAACCACAAATCGAGACTTCAAATATCTGCAGTTGTAAAATTTGTATTTCTATTACAAACAGATTAAACATTGTGTTGTGAGAACAGAGATTGACTGACAGACCTGATAGCGATGAGATTACGGTCGTAGACAAAGCGGTAAGAATGGGAATCGCGATAGGCAACACAAAAGTGAACAGCGATATCGATGAGAAAGGCGATCTGGCCGGCAACGTCGAGGAGGAAGAGATTCTTGGGGAGACCCCTGAAGAATCCGAATTCCAATGGCGTAAAGAAGGAAGAGTACACAGCCCATACCAAAATGAAATGCGTCCAAAGAACGTATCGCCTGCATTAAACGTAAACCCCATTTTCTTCTCAGTTCTTTTCAGATTTCGTTTCTGCTCTGAATCCCGTCGCTCTGACGGATTGCTTCAGTGCATCATCGTGCATGGATTCCACCAGCCCTTAATTTTGTCTTCAAAAATCGTCCAACGGTTTCTTTCTACTATTTAAATAAATAAATAAACCTTTTGATAAATGTTTTTTTTATTTCTATTTTCTTTTAAGTAATTACGAGAAATAAAGTGACGTTTTGGAGAGAGAAAAATAAAAATAAAAATAAAAATCTAAAAAAAAAAAACATAAAAGATAAATGTTCTAAGTGAAATAAAAGAAAAATATTTTTAGAATGTTTTTAGTTCTAAAGTTAAGGAAAACAAACGACCTCTAAAAAAAACATCCTAAACCGACTTTAACGATTAAGACATTTTTACTCCCTCAAATAGTAATATATTCAAATTTATCGTAAAGTTCCAAATATTTTTCAAAACAATTATAAAAAAAAATTTAAAGCAACGATTTGAATATATGAATGCGATACTTGGACGTGTAAGTAGTAGATTTAAACACAAAATTAAAATTTTCATTTTTATGAAATAAAAATATGTATGATAACAAAAATAAAAATAAAGTAATTAAAATTTTCATTTTTATGGAATAAAAATATGTATGATAACAAAAATAAAAATAAAAATAAAGTAGTACCAGTCGTGAGGATGAATGACAATTTGACTTAGAGATCTGAAGTTTGCGCTATTGTTCTTCTCTGCATCTCTCGATCTCTCACCATTTCTAGTTGATGAATCGAGACTGAGTAGTGTTAGTTTCCTTTTCCACCAAGATAACTTAGAATCTCCGTTATCATTGTAACCGTCGAGTTCTAGCTTTTGTTTTGAAAACTCTTCTTCCATCTCTCCTTCTATTTCCCTTCCCATCATTTCATCCAAACGCAACCTTTTAATATGTTATTTCCTTTAACTCCTCTAACTAAGAGAATGGAATAATATTTTGTTGAATTGATTAGTAGTAGCGTTGGCTTACTTTTGTTCACAAAACACAATATCTCTTAAGATTAAAAGAGAATATTTAGAAGATAGAGCATATTATAAAAATACTTTTTAAAATTCCATCATTTGAGAATTTTGGTAACTTCACATTCACTCTCTTCAAAACTCTTTTTATCATTTTTTTACTTTTTATCTCAAAACCCCAACAGTTGTTGCCTCCTGTAATACAAGTAAAAAGTCTCACCCTTTAACAATGTCATTTTATGCTTACAAAAAAATCGGATTGAAGTTGTATTGGTATTCGGTTAACAGCCTATTTAGACTAAATTTGATTCAAATAAATGAAAATTATATATACATATAAACGGTTCAAGAGAGTCTCCACAGTGGTATGATATTGTCCACTTTGAGCATGAGCCCTCATGACTTTGCTTTTAATAAATAAATAAAATTTTAAATAAACCATCCAAAGAATCTAACCAATGGAGTTAGTTCATTATTTAATAAATAAATAAAAATTATTGAATTAGATTCATTAGGAAAATATTTATTTGGTTGGGATCTAAAAACCACCCAACCCATGAACCCTATTTCAAGCTCTCATGTATATGTGTACATACCATACCAAAATATTTAGCACCTCAAATAATACCATAATATATCTTGAACCGGTTTTGTACTCCACGTATTACGAGAACCAACCTCTAATTTAAGTAAATATTTGGTTTCAGTTGGAGGGGAGATACACGTAAGGCCATAAACAAATAAGTTAGAGAAAAACTCGGAGTTTGAATGGTTCAGAAGCTGCCCTCAACATGTATATAAACGATGGAACACGGAAGGGATAGTCATTGGGGGACAAACATCTTCTCATCTTCTCACATTTTGGGGGAAGTTTGAGGGCTCATCACATTTCAAACCAAAACAAAGATCAAAAGAGTGAGGGAAAGGGGAGTTGCCGATGGCTGGGTTGACGTTCACCATGCTACTAATTTGCCTATTGGCTGTAGCACTGTCCACAGTCCGAGGCGAGGATCCTTATTTCTTCTTCACATGGAACGTCACCTACGGCACCATCTCTCCTTTGGGTGTTCCCCAACAAGGCATCCTCATCAATGGTCAATTCCCCGGACCTAATATCAACTCCACATCCAACAATAACATAGTCCTCAATGTCTTCAACAATCTCGATGAGCCCTTCCTTTTACACTGGAGCGGTGTTCAACATAGAAAGAACTCATGGCAAGATGGTCTACTCGGAACAAATTGCCCAATCCCACCAGGCACCAACTTCACCTACCATTTCCAAGTCAAGGACCAAATTGGCAGCTTCTTCTACTACCCATCCACTGCCATGCACAGAGCTGGTGGAGCCTTCGGTGGCCTTCGCATCAATAGCCGTTTACTCATCCCTGTCCCATACGCCGACCCAGAAGATGATTACACTGTCCTAGCCGGTGACTGGTACACCAAGACTCACTCCGCTCTTAAGAAGCTCTTGGATAGCGGCCGCTCAATTGCTAGACCCGATGGTGTCCTCATTAATGGCAAGACCGCAAAGGGCGATGGATCCGATGAGCCACTCTTCACCATGAAGCCCGGGAAGACTTACAAGTACAGAATTTGCAACGTTGGACTCAAGACATCTCTTAATTTCAGGATCCAAGGCCATACCATGAAGTTGGTTGAGATGGAGGGCTCACACACTGTCCAAAACGTTTACCAATCACTCGATGTTCATGTGGGACAATGCTTTTCAGTTCTAGTCACAGCCGACCAAGAACCTAAGGACTATTACATGGTGGCATCCACTCGTTTCATTAAGAACATTCTTGTCGGTAAAGCCATTGTTCGATACACTAATGGAAATAGTCCTGCTTCCCCTGAAATTCCAGAGGCACCAATTGGTTGGGCTTGGTCACTCAATCAATTCCGTACATTTCGTTGGAACCTTACAGCTAGTGCAGCTAGACCAAACCCTCAAGGCTCATACCACTACGGTTCCATCAACATCACCCGCACCATCAAGCTACTCAATTCGGCCACTCGGGTTGATGGTAAGTTGAGATATGCTATCAATGGTGTCTCTCATGTCGACCCTGAAACTCCATTGAAGCTTGCACAGTATTTCAATGTCGCTGACAATGTTTTCAAGTATGATATGATTTCTGACGAGGGATCGGTAGAAGGAAGCGATGTGACTATTGCTCCTAATGTTGTTAATGCAACATACCGTAACTTCGTTGAGATTATATTTGAGAATCATGAGAAGAGTATGCAATCGTGGCATTTGGATGGGTACTCGTTCTTTGCTGTTGCAATTGAGCCTGGGAGATGGGCTCCGGAGAAACGAAAGAACTACAATCTTCTTGATGCGGTGCATAGGCATACAATTCAAGTGTTCCCTAAATCATGGGCAGCTGTTCTTGTTACATTAGACAATGCAGGAATGTGGAACTTGAGGTCTGAATTGACAGAGAATCGTTACTTGGGACAACAACTGTACTTCAGTGTTCTTTCACCGGCTAACTCCCTTAGAGATGAATACAACATTCCAGACAACACATTGCTCTGCGGTTTGGTGAAGGACATGCCATTGCCGAAGCCATACACCATTTGAGATAATTGTTTTATTCACCTTCCCCCATTTTAATTGACAGACTATGATATTTATATGCGCGATCAATTTCTCAATAAGTTGCTACAATTTGAATATTCATGTAAGCCTTCCTATTTGGAGGACCCTAAGGGGAATTTTTTTAATGAAATGATCGCGTGATTGTTTTGATATGAGCCTTGAGGTGTTTTACTTTGTTCCTACATTGAGTTGCAAGCCAAAAATATTTGAACATTCATACTAAAAATATAATTCGATGTACTTATATGATCAATGTTGGCACCTCATTCATAATGATTCCCTAACTTTTTTGTTAGGAATTTCAAGATGAATGGTGCCATGTAACGAACAACTATGGCTTTACTCATTGAGTTTAAACACATATTTACGAGTAATACAATATTCATAGATCAATCTTCAACTTTCAAATTTGTACATATTTACAAGTTTTTTTTTTTTTTTAACTTTCAAGTTTAAATACATTTTTTTTAAAGCTTGTCATGAGTTTAGATACATATTTATAAGTAATACAATATTCAATCTTGAAGATGGGTTACTTTAGGGGCATTGTAGTCATTTTACGTTACTCGGTATGGTTCACTTAAGAAAGTATTTACAAGTGCATTATGGTCACTTTAGGTGCCATTCATGGTTTCTTAAGAAAAGTTAAAGAACACAACTTACCTCTTCATGAGGTACCACTAACCGACCTTTGTTCTCGAGCTTATGATATCTGAATTATTTTCATGAGATCTGATTTGGAAGAGGGTCTGTTAGTGCTACCGTCTAAAAATGACTTGCCAGCTTCGATTACGGTGTTCCTCTCAATTTATTCATGAAACTTAAAGGTGTTACAAGGAAGAGATAGGGATTGATTTCGTACTTTCTCGTGATTGTAGCCTAAGTTATTCTCCTCCTAAGTTATTGGGCAGCCAATTCTAAAAGTTCTCAAGGCTCGATTTTTTCATGGAACTTCTTCCTTATACTTCCCTCTAGCAAAGGAATTGGTTTGGAAAATTCCTCTAGCAAAGGCAAGAAAAATCTTATTGGGCAGCCAATTCTTTAAGCATGTGGCCTTAATTTAGAAAATTCCTCTTGGTTTGCAACTCTCTTGAAAGTGTAGAGGATCAATCTCTTGTGTAGCTTGATCTAGGACGATTTATCTCTCGATTTCTTCATCAAAGTTGTTCATCTTAATCCTCTGGATCTAAAGAAATGCTGAATTTCTTCATCAAAGTTTATACATTAGTAGTTGAAACACAACGTAATAGTTAAAACACAAAATAAGGAACCTACACAAAATAAATAAAACAAAAGGGTGTGGAGAGCGATGGGTGAGGTGTGTCTATGGCACCTACTCTAGAGTCCGCTCCTGACCTCAATCAACTCTATGTTTACCTGAAAAATATGGAAAACATGAATGGGTACAAAGACTCAATAAGTAGCTTACTTGTAGGCTCTTAACTGTGTCCTTAGGGTACCCCACTCTTTCTTTTCTTGTTGTAATTACTTAGACCCTTTAGTTCTGTTCTTGACTTCTGGGTTCTTATCATGAGTTATTCTGAGGACCTTGGTCCTTGGATTCTAAAACCTTGTTTTTAGTCTAAGGTTCTAGGTTATTGTTCTTAGAACTTGGATCTTGATCCTTGTTTTAGTCCTTGATTGTTGTCTCGTTCTTGGTTACTTTCTAGGTTCTTGTTCTATTCTTGGTTCGTTCTCCAAGACACTCCTCCTACGATTTACGATACTAGTCATGAACCTGACATTCTATGTCCTGTTAAAATAAAACTCACTAATTTATGAAGTAATCTCACACACACTAACGATAAAACGCTTCGATACCGCTTTGTGAAAGTACTACTTGCGTACTTGTGAAGGAGATGTTGAGAGGGGAGAGACAAGGAGACAAAGAATACTGATTTTATCAAAAGGCCTTTTCTATTGATGTGTATTTGTTTGCTCTCTGTTTTTTGCTCTAACCTTAGAAGGAAAGGATTAGGTATTTGTACCTTTTCTAACACTATTAATAGGGTGAGAGACGCTCCTAAACCCCTCCCATCGTTCCTAAAAAAAACTCTGTGCCTTTTCTTTCAATTGTCTCTTCAAATTAACTTTCCTAACAAATTTAGTAAGGTTAACATTAGGTCTATTTTAAACAAAAACTACATTTTAAGTTTATTCCAACAAAACTCCCTCATGAACTTAAATGCTATATTCAATGATTCCACCTGCGCCGTTTTCGTTTTCTCGAGCTCAGTCGTGGTTTCTTCAATTTCCTCTCCTTGTCCTCGAGCAGCAAACTAAGCTTGTCCTTTTCTGATGAGACTTCATTTGGAGCTTCTCGAGAACAGCCCAT